GCTCTCTAGTCTAGTTCTATAAGCAGACGACCATAAATGTTCCATCGAATCACCGAAAGACTCGTCTTCGCGCCGGTGGTCCGCCATTGGAAAAGAAAGTTGGTGTTCGTGATTACATGAATGATCGCTACAGCAAAAGGGATACGCGTACAGTAAGTTTATAGCACGTTTCTCTTTGATATAGCGAATGAGCACGCAAGATCAATTCTTCTTCCATTCGTCGTCTCTCTCGATGGTTCGTCTCTTTTCATATTTTTCGCAGTCAAACTACCTTTTGACGAGAATCCTTGACTAAAAATAAATATACACAGATTACGATTAGTCAAAAATCCAAGTATCACAAAAATATTAAAGTACAGAAGTAAATTCTTCGGAATCTTTACTGTAGTAAACTATGCAAGATTGAATCATGCGTGATATTAACACAAAAGTAATTTGATTTGAAGAAGCTTGAAAATAGGAATATGCGATGTATTACGTAATACTCTCCGCAATATGAGATCTTGGAGTTTATTAAAATCTGCTAAAAGCATCCATAGAAATACAATAGTCTTTTTAATTTTACGGCAAATACGATGAAGGATATTGATTGTTTCCAAGGTTAGAAAAATTTTTATGTACTTGTAGAGTCTTTTAATTCGTTCATTTTAATTTGTTAATTCTACGTTATGTACCGACCCAATTGCTAATCGATGAAGTAGCCCAGCTTAATTTAAGATGATTTAGCTTCTAGGATATATTTCTTTGCTAGTTAGTAAAATTATTTTTAATTGTTTATTAATTCTGTTAACCTCTTTATTTATTTTTTTTTGCCTGTTCGGAATTAGGATATATAAAATATTTATCATTTGATAATTACAAAACTTAATGGCTTGCGCTTTTTTTATATCTGTAACGAAAATAACGTTACATTATTACGATATGATGCTGAAGTTAATCAATCACTTGAGAATACTCCTTTTCTTTTGCTGAAAGCGCAATTTATAATTTCTTTGAATTTACGTCTTAATATTTTATAATTATATTCACAATAACGTAATACGTTGATTTTTAACACTTTATCGCTTAATTAATATTTTTAACATAACAACGTAATGAATTTTTGTTTTAGTTTTTTGATATATCATTTCTCAATCGAATTATTATTAATCAATGTTGCTTTGATTTAATTAATGATTTACAAATTTTGATCAAACCGGTCAACAGCGTGACAATGGCATTTTCCAATCATTTGCAGTAAGAATGAAGAATAAAATAATATGTGTAAAAACAGGAATGTATAACATATACAACAAAAAAACAATGCGAAATATCAATTAATGGAACTTTAATTTAACTAAGGACATTTATGTTATTACATTAAGTTTACCTTTGTCCCTTTCGTTTCGGAGGAGAATTCAAATAAGCACCATCATGCCAGTAAGATCGCTCTTGTGGAAAGGAATAGGATACGTTAGTGTAAAAATCGGTGACTCATTGCAAAAGTATTTATACTCTGCAGTTTCTTTTCTACTGTTGTATAAAATATGTTTCATTACAGAACATAGAATAATGAGCTTATATTTGTATTATGATTTTTAGAATATTTTCCAAATTTTTATATCAATGATGACCCTATAGAAATATAGTTACAGAAGATAACATATTAAGAGAAATATCTAATTTTATCGTTTCGCTTGTTTTCAGCATTCGTGATAACGTGGTGAACGGCGTAATCCCCGTAAGTGACTGTAAAATTTGTAAGGACTCAAAGGACGAGTCAAAAGATTTTGAAAGCGCATCATTGCTTTGCGCGCTGAAACCGCGTAAACGTAAAGAACGTCACGAATCTTGTTGTCAAGAACGGAAACTGATAAGGTATGAAAAATCAATGAAAAGAGTATCTCTTAACTAACCTAACTAATATTTTTAAAGGATTAGTTACAGAACGTAGTTCTGAGTTTTCTTATCTCTTTTTTTCACAAATTGAACTACTTTTAGAAGTAGCAGCGAGGAGCGTGTTCTTGAAAGTCCTGCTGAAAAGATTTTAACAGCGAAAAACATTTGCATATTTTATCTCAGCTTGGACAAGACATGGGTCATGGTGTGGTAAGTCGTCTAAGCATATAATGTGATGTGTCTAAGCATATAATGAATGTGAAATAACGTTCACTTAAATATTTGTTTATGAGATGCATTGTTTACAGAGATGTGGAAGTCTTCCCTTACATGAAAGAACAAACGTTTCTTCTGTATCCAAGAAAACGCCACCGATTTCATCACCATGCGAAATAGTTTCGGAAACAGAAAAATTTGAATGTGATGCTGAAAAATTGAGAAGCAGTGAACGGTTCAGTCGAAGTATTACCCCAAGAGGACGAAGACAAGCACGAAGAAGAAGGGTGCACAAAGTTGCAGACGCAGAGAATTCTAGTAAGGTAAAATTTCCATTCGTTCATTTGACTAGACGAGATAAGAAATGTAAAACATATATATATAAATATAAATTGCAACTAAAATTCTTTTGTTAGGAAAACGAAGAAGAAACCGATAACATTTATAATGTATCATCGAGTCCTAATAGTCGTAATGGATCTCCAGCTCAAAGTTTTTTAGAAATGTTGAGCAGTGGACCGAGCCGATCACCATCACCGGCTCGTCCGCCGACAGTTAGTCATGAAGATGTAAATAATCCCAGTTTAACTAATTGGACTTTTCAACGACAAGAAAATGTAAATAATATTAAAATATTAAATTAAAATATCATTTAATGGCAATATTACATATCAGTGCATATTTAGGTCGAAGCTGCCGATGCGCGAGTAGAAGCTATGCTTTCTCCACGAAATTCTCTGTTATTACCTAGACGTTTTTACTCTGAGAATGAAATGCAGCCTAATGCGCCGAATATTGCAGAACTTGGTTTAAAAAATTTAACAAAGCATATAAATGGCTTGAAAAAGAAAATAAAAAAATATGAAGACGAATTTGAAGAAAATTTTGGTTATCGTCCAAGTCATTCTGATAAAATGAGTAACAGGGATATCAAACGATTATGTACAGAATTAAGTAAATTACGGAAGGAACATAAGCTATTAAAGGAAGACCCAGTTAGCGCTTTATTAGCTAATTCAAATAACAGAACAAGAATAACTAGTGGCAGCCCAACAAATAACAATAACAGTCAAGAAAAGTCTAGGACAGTATCAATGGAAGAAATGATAAAAGAAATAGAAAAGAAATTAAGTGAAAAAAGATTAAAATATAACAGATCAGAGAATATGGAAGAACTATCATATGAACAACTAATAGATGAAAAAACTGCTGTCCAAAAAGCTTTGCTTCATATTGAAAATACTTTTGGAAGACCAGTTTCTAAAGAAGATAGAACTGTCGTGCGACCTTTGTATGATAAATATAGAACTTTAAAAAGATTACTTATTAGAGCAGGTGTGGTAAGTAATATTAGAGTATTTTAAATTTAATCAATTTAATAATGAAATATTGTATAAATTTGTAAACTGTTTTTAAACATTTCTCTTACAGAGCAAAAATAAAGATAGTATTTCAGAATTAGCTACTATTTTGGAGCATGAAGCAATGGATTTTACATCGTCCAATTTACCTAATAATCCATCTGATACAGAAAGGAGAGCTAGTGAACCTGATATGTCACATAGAGGTATTTTAGATTGTATAGATTCGGTAGATCAATTACCAACTGATAGTGATAGTCAACACAGCAGTAGCGAAGGAAGTCGTAGTAATAACGAAAGTCTTCATGCACTCCCACAGTGAGTTTGTATTATGTCATTTACTAAAATCCATTTCTTGTAAAGATATTAACTAAATACTTAATTTTATATCAGAGAAGAATTATTGGTGCAGCAGAAATTAACCAGAGAAGAGAAAAAACGTCTACGACGGGCTTTGAAAGAGTTAGAAGCGCAGTTTGAAGCTCGTGCTGGCCGTAGAATGCAAAGAGAAGATCGTGGTCCTCAAGTTACAACTGTTTACGAATCATATAAGCAAGCCAAAGCAAAGCTTCGACTGATTGATGCTCTTGTAGCTAAAAATGCTTGACGCAGTATTTAATGGATGCCTTGAAAAATCTACATACATCCAACAACAAAAAAACTTCAAACATTACGAAACATCCGAAGAGTGTGCAGTGATTATTATACAATCGAAACTTGATACAGTTATTAATAATGTTATTGTGCAATAGAAATGTCAACAGGAAGCATTAAAGAAAATGGAAGTTACTAAAATCAGGCAGTAGTATGTATCATGATTTGAATTTATTCAGAAATCAAAATATTTTAAGAGAAGTATTGAGTGGTTGTCTCTGGTTGTAATATTTTTTATATGTATTAATTTTAATTGATTAACTATCTGTTTCAAATCAAAACATTAAGCTGATACAGAATATGTTTGTAAAATTTTATTCAAAGCTACTTATACAGATGTTACTAAATTTAGTTTACTGGCAAATTAATTTCCTTTTAACTTCAACAGAGATAATTATTGCACATGTTTTATTTATATGAAATATTTTTAACATATTTGAAAATATTTTAGTTATTGTAACTAACTAGATTGTTTTGATGCAACTTTCGTTATTTCAATGACTCACTGAAGTGCATATTATAAAGTGATATCATACGATAATAAATAATAAAATTAATACCAAGTTAGTAATTTGAACTTTAAATATTAATAGTTAGAAAGTAACAGTGGCTACCACGTTATAAACAATCTGTCGATTTGCACTCAATTTTCTTCAAATACTTCATGTCAGTTTCAATATAGTAAAGAAGTGCTTATTGCATGATTATTGTAAACTTTGCCTATTTATACGGATAAGAACATCACGTAACAATTATTGGAAAGAAAAAGGCCACTGATTCATTGAAAATTTTGTACTTATTTTTACTAGTGTCATTTTAAATTTTGTCACTGTTTAATAGAAATTTAAAAAACTTACTTTTTATCGTACATTATATATATTACATTATAATAAAAATGCATTGTTCTTTCATATTATTCCATGCTCATATATTTCTTTATGTTTAATTAAATGACAAATATATAAAATACCAAAGAGACAGAAGAAAGAATGAGACGATCTATTGCTTGAAAAATTATTATGCGCATCTTGCTATAAATCAATAGATAAAATACAAAAGTAAACTATTAAAATAAAAAATAAAAAAAAAAAAAAAAAAAAAAAAAAAAAAAGGGTTAAAAAG